ACAAGGACAGAGTGTCTCTCTAGAGGTAATGCAGGCCATTGAAATCTCCCAAGAGTAGAAATGGATAAGGCAACAGCCCACGTAGATCTTCCAACTTATCTATGTCGAGATAATGTGGAAGATTGACAGATGCAGCAGTTTAAAGTCATATCAAGCCTATCCTTACAGCCTTCACCTGTCTGTAGGTGGATGGCCTGAAAGGGAATATCACGGCTTCTCCATGAGGTTCATTATCAAAGGGCCCATAATGGGTTTGACCTTGAAATTCTCTCAGGGAAATTGGACAATTTTCCCTTGTCATAATCTCCTGTAGCCATACACAAACTGGGTCAGATGAAGTTATCAGACGTTGCAGTTCCTCCCATTTTGCATGAAATTCCCTGGCAATTCCACTGGATTAGGGCATCCTGTTCATCAGGTTGACAAGTTACCTTTTCATAAAGTGTTTGGCTGCACCTGTGGTTAATGCCCATCCCAAACCCCCTTTAGGATTTCCATTTCTATCATCTTTGGAGTGCCTTTTGGAAAGTCCTTTACCTGTCGAACTATTTTCTACATGCTTCCATTAGAAATTCCCAGGATTTTTTGCCTGAGCCTTTAGTTCAGGAGCATTCTGTATAGCAGCGGATGCCTCTGTTGATATGGCGGCAGGTGGGCTTGTCATCGCTAACGCCTCTGGAATTTTGCCTCACAGCTTCAAAGACCTTACTTTGGGAGGAGTTCTTTGGATAGGCTCAGGATTCCCTTGCCCAGACAAAGGGCGGACCTGAGACTTTGGCTCAGGGGCATCCTGTACAACTGCTAAGCCCTTTACTGCTGAGCCGTTGAGGCCTCTGGAGCCTTGACTGATGGCTCCAAAGAACTTACTCAATAAACCCCTCACTCCTATACTGTTCCTGGTGGAACAATTCACCAGAGGCAGTTTCAGCATTTGAGGACCGAAGTTTAAAGGAAGTGGCAGAGTGTGTGGTGCAAGAAGTATTGGAGGAAGGGCGAGAAGGAGGATGAGCTAGAACCAAATCAAAGGAGTTCCCTGGTTGTGCAAACAGCGCGTAAGTGTGTCTCTTTGCTGTTAGAAAGCTAACATTTTCCTTGTTTCTTATTACTAATTCGTCTTTTTAAAAATTGTACCTTATATTCTGCTTTGATGATGATTCATGAGCATATTTGCAGTGGTAACAGCATACTGGACCTGGACATCTCTGTGATGACCAGTTGTACCATACTTTACACAGGCTGTCTTCTGTACACACCATAAAAGTTTATCCTATATTAAAGTTTAAGCTCGATCTCTAATGTGCATGCACGATGGCAGCATCTAGGCTTAAAATTAATTCACCTCTGGATCAGATTTTACTTTTGAACTTAATCTTTATCCTGCACATGCACAAAACAAGCTTCGTAATCCCACCAATCATATATTAATATGTCATGACAATGTGATCTAATCCATGGAAAAGATGGAGGTGAGTTACCATCAATATCTATAATAAACAATAACAAAATAACATGTTCATGGCAAAGATGTATGTGAAAATTCTTCAGTATATATTCTTATAAGTTGTGGGATATTCAAATTGCTGATATAACTCTCAGCATTGGATAGAAAAACGAAAAGAAAATCCCACTAGAGAATTCCAGTGCTTACAGACAAAGGAAAGGCAAAGTTATTTCCAAGTTGGAAAAACATTCCCAACTTATGTAATATATTGATAGAGAAAGCATTTAATAACATCGCAATTAGGTTTCAAGTTCAAAGTACAAAATTTCTAATTCTCTAAACTATAGTGACTACAAAACCGCGGGGACATTTGTTATTATGATTCTAGCTAACAAGACCCTGAAAAAATACCCTACCCATGCCCTGTGATCACACAAAAAAAAGTTCTTGGAGATAATACGAGTGTCTCATTATTGTTTGGCATCTTTACTTCGGTTGTCTATAACATCTATAGGCTATTTGAAACCATTTATATAATTTTATTTGTACTGATACAGATATATATCAGTATGATATAATACTAGCGTATATGTATATATATTTTTTTTCTTCTGTAGCAAACATTTCCTTATCGACATTAGTGCATAATATGAAACTTGTGAAGAGTGAATGCTAATTGCCATAACACAGATACTCGCTTTTTTCATATAAAACAGCAGATTTACGGATAATCGCATTAACTGGCAGGGTGTCTTTTGTGAAAGCACTGTGAATTTGGATTAATTTTAATCCGGAATTAACTTTTATGATGCATACAGGAGACGCCTATACATTTTTGGTAGTCCATTTTCCCTGAGATGGCAAGGCTTGGCTCCATGCCTATAACCCTGGCAGTGGAAGCACCGCATAGGGTTGGCCTTTCCTTGAGTTGGTCCCATGCCAATTTAATTTATTCCGAAAGGACTATTGATTCAAAAGTTAGGAGAAGAGCTGGTGTCAATTATTTCACACTAGATTTTTTCTGGAAACACTTTAATGGAACTACCTTTGAATTCTTTA